ATGTGTATTGGTACACGTAATACTAAGTATTGTAAGCTATTGAATGACTAGTTGTATTGGTACACGTACTAAGTATTGTGTTATTGAATGACTATGCATTGGTACACGTATCACTCAAGTATTGTGTTATTGAATGACTATGTGTATTGGTACACGTAATTAGTATTAGTGTTATTGAATGACTATGCGTGTATTGGTACACGTACTAAGTATTGTGTTATTGAATGACTATGTATTGGTACACGTACTAAGCATTGTGTTATTGAATGACTATGTGTATTGGTACACGTACTAAGTATTGTGTTACTGAATGACTATGTGTATTGGTACACGTACCTAAGTAATGTGTTATTGAATGACTATGTGTATTGGTACACGTACTAAGTATTGTGTTAGTGGATTGGCTATTGTAATATTGAATTACTGTGTGCATTGAAAGACGTACTAAGTATTGTGTTATTGAATGACTAGTTGTATTGGTACACGTACTCAAGCATTGTGTTAGTGAATGACTATGTGTATTGGTACACGTACTAAGTATTAAGTGTTATTGAATGACTAGTTGTATTGGTACACGTACAGGCATCATCACAGCTAGGATATCCGTGCGTCCGTTCACCCAACACGACCTTTTGCGTCTTTTACCTGAGATGAGAAATAGAGAGTGCATAATCAGATAGAGCCATGGGTTCCCACTCTGTCTCTGTTAATCGTGAACTGTACCCTCTAATTTCACAATTACCCAAATTCTGAATGATGTATCAATATTTGAAGAAATGTTTCTTCTTCCTGCCAATCGAAGACAATGTAAGCACTACAACTCTTCGTACTGAATTACTGAACGTGATAGCAAATATGTGTAACGGTGCAGATTATAGCATATTCTTACCTGCCTTATCTCGCTGTATATCGGATTTGACTCTCTACAAACCCAAAGAATGCGAACATGTATATTCATATGCCCCTACAACATGGGATACTTTGACGATGCAAGTCATAGATGCGAGGTAAAATGTATGGAAGGGATCAGCGTGAATGAGTGAGTCAGCCAGTTTACAGTTTGTTGTCCACCTATGTCAGGAAGTTAAAGCTTGACGTGGAGGAAAGTGCTGGACGTAATGGAGGCGTTTGAAATCTACTGCCTTAGTGGCACTACCACTGGTATGGTGACGACGAAACACAACACAATATGACAATATGGGATTCAAACCCATACCACAGGTTCCTGTCATGACTAAGGAACCATAACATAGTGAATTACTGCTCGTTCTACGAGATTACAAAGGCGCTTATGGTGCCGCTTTAGAACATATTCTTGTTTATTAAAACCCAAATTTCCTCGTTAATTCTCTCTCACTCTCACTGTTTTGTTTCCGCAATTTCGAAGGTTTTTTCTGGTTAATTATTGCATTTCTGTAGCTTGATTGATTATTTTCTTCGTAATTCAATAAATTCAGCGAAATTTTTTTACTTTTGAAAATATTTTTTATATAAGGAGAGAAAAAAAACCAAAACATAAATTAAATTATATAATTGTCAAAAGGAATTTGGGAATCTGTTTTAGCAAAAGCATGAAAGGGCAATAATGGAAGCAAGGATAAACTTTTCGAAATTGTCAACTTTTGAAATAAAGGGACAGATTTTCTAATACATCAGTCAAGGTAGACAGTGATTCTTCAGTTATTCATTGTCAATATATCATCATTTGTGTTTTGCCAGAACAATGTTCTCTATTTGTATCTGTACATATATCTCTTTAACCAGAAACTGTCGGACAACCACCTGTATCAGTCTCGGTACGAACACTGTCTTCCTTTCCCCATTGTTTAACAAAGTCCAGGTGGTAGGAACGTATCTCCCATCTCGTGAACATACTGTCTGGAATCCTCACATACAACCCACCGTCTGAACCTCGTACAGAGTCGTACACACAGGCATACTGCTCCTGCAATACACAACACATACAACCCACCGTCAGAACTCTCGTAAGTCAATACAGGATGGCAGCGTCACGTGTCAGAACCTCGTACACCGTCAGAACTGCTCGCAATACAGATACAACGTCGTACAACGTCGTACACAGGACATACAACCCACCGTCAGAACTCCTGCAATACACACATGATAGCGTCAGATGACATACAACCCACCGTCAGAACTCTCGTCGTGTACAGGGTGGTGTGCAATACACAGACATACAAACCCCACTGTCCCGTACAGCAATACAGATGACAGCGTCACATACAACCCACCGTCAGAACTCGTACAACGTCGTGTCACACAACCCAACGCATACGACAGCGTCACATACAACCCACAGACATACTACACATGACAGGCATCCGAACTCGTACAGGGTCGCACACAGACATACTCATTCTCTGGACAGTGAATACAACCCACCGTCAGAGCCTCGTACAGAGTCGTGTTCACACAGGCATACTGCTCCTGCAATACACATGACAGCGTCACATACAACCTACAGTCAGAACCTCGTACAACGTCGTGTACACACACGCATACTGCTCCTGCAATACAGATGGCAATGTGACATATGCTTGCAGACAAATAAGTATATCCATTATATACATACAGTGACATGGCTATGATACCTAGCTGTTATTCAAAGTAATGCAATCGACAAGATATTTGTATAATCCAAAATACAATTGCCATTTTGAGATTATGAAACGTATTGGCGTCCTACCTTCGTCTGAATCATGTTTCTCCTCTGACGTCTCATGTCACATGCGAACCTGAACACATCAACTTTCCGGTCACTCAGAGCCCTGTCGAGCAGGTAATCCAGCGCGATATAGGTTCCAGTGCGACCTATCCCAGCGCTGAGGACAATAGAGAGCAAAATCAATCTCGACTGACAGGATGAAAAATGAGAAACAATTATACGAATGAATGACAGATTATCAGTGAAGACACCGGGTGTTAACGGAAATGGAAAGCATTTCAATCCCTATCGTCAGTACCAGCCAATTTGCGTATGAATGTAAGTATTTGTTGTCTAAAGCCACATGGCGTTTCTCCGGCCATGCTAGCTACGGCGGTCTTTAAACAATCGAATCCTGAACAGACAGTCAAGTTATGGACCGGAAATACGGCGACAAGATAGAGCATTAAACTGAAGTAAGTGGACACTGTTAACCTTCTCCTCTTCTATTCCACGGTTCATTAACACCATCAATGTTGTAGCATGCTGAATATCCCGGCCATCCTCAGTGAACAGGCCGTCTATACTAGCCCATGGTATTTCTCTATCATATACTTGATAATTTGAGTCCTACTGGTACAACACAGTAACAGTTCGAACGTTATTTCATATGAAACCTGTTGGCATACCACAGAAAGCTTAAACTGTTTGCTTGAAGTGCTATTGGTCCCACCCACAAGATTGAACTGTAATATGAATCTTTACACGCACATAACTATGAAGGGTAAGATGTTGTATTCTGGGATCTCACATGCACGTCAACAGCCGCTTTCCTACCCAGCCGGACTACTTGCATGAGCGCGGGAGTTGTACATAAAATATAGTTCCCCATCATCATGATTATATTACAAGAACTGTAGAGTGTCTTCGTACAGACCTACAGTGTACCAACACAGGAGAGTTGTCAGGGTTGGGCGTCTTTCGACCCGCCACAAGAACTCCATCAGGTGAGTTTCGTCTGGAGTTCCATGGTCCGGCCATTTTGTGAAGTGGAACTGGTAGAAAATTCTGTGTTCACCGGTCTGTGAAAAGGAAGAGATTGCCATATGTAATACCAATTATTCTAAATATGCAGAGTTGAGGTTGTGAACATAGAGAGACAATTCTCAGTTTCAGCAATGATTTAATTTGCTTCACTGCAATTATAGAGGAACATGTATTTCCTTTGCCCTAGTTTGAAGTACCAGAAGATACTTACAATCTGCCACTGATCATCTGACAGCCGTCAGTGAGTTATTTCCTGAGAGGAAAGAAAAGTCTGCATCTGTCCATATATACTAACGAAAGATGATGTCATACAGTATTACCTCCTTGACTGTAGCAGTGAGTTCTCTGATGACCCAGCATGCCCTGTGCATGACCTTGGTAACAGTGATAGAAAAGGGTCCCGCTTCAAGGTCAGATGTGTCAGACCAGTAGGGCTCACACTTCACCTGAATGAAGAAAAAATGTTGTCCGCATTGGAGTGAGTAAGTGAGGTAATATGTAACGTCACATCGGCAATATTTCAACCATATCGTGACGAGAACAATTTATTTTACATCAACATTAAAATCAATAAATTTAGAACATAAAAAATCTGTCATGGGAGGACAGTAAAACTATTAGAGTATCACAGCTCTTAATCTAAAACTAGCACGCTATCATAACAAAGATATCACTATAAAGAACAATACAATATAAAACGGGCTATAGATCACCAGCAACTGAAGGCTGATCACCATGCTAGGTACCATAGGGACTTACAGTACTTTGGCTGTCCGCATAGGACAAATGACTAAACACGTGTTAATGTTTATACAGTCACTTAACGGATATACAAGGATATACTTTTCTTTGAAAGCTACACATCAATATAAGTAGTTAGTTTATTCACAAAACTGTTTTACCTTTGCCCATCTCCGTCAAGTTGGTCAGCATGACGATCCTGGTCAAGTTCTTCTGATAGATCATTCTCCAGAAGTCGGCTACAGTCTTCCTGTTCGGTGCTATGATGGTTATAAAAGAAACACAGATTGTATGACTACATGTACATGTTTATATAAAAGCGATATCTTTACTTTTATATCAGAAAGAGATGAATATTATAAAAAGATATGTTATTGATTTCCCATTATGAAGACATGAATGTGTTTTTCACCTTGAGCTGCAATATAGGCTTGCTTCCTCGAAAAGCCCTGAAATATGAGGATCTTTGTAAACATTTCTATTCTCTTCATGACAACAGATGCATCAACCATAAAACATGCGATGATGGATGTAACAAAACAACGAGATTCCCTATCCTGAGATCCTAATTGTTTATTCTGTAAGTCGACACAAAGCAGTAACCCTAACAGTGCATATATATACATGTACACATATATTCAGAACTGTAACAGCTTTACATATGTTTTACACTGTGAGAAAGAATTACAGAGATCTAGTTTACATTAATGTAGCTGGCGTTGATGTAGTCGGAAAATGGATCCCCCGGAAGCTTGTCCAAGACCACTCGGTTGTAGTCATCTGTGATAGACAAGAAAGTGTTTTACTGAGACACCCCCTCTGTATTTGACTGAATATGTGACTGTGATACTTAAGGTTATATTAGGTCCCTGTCAGTGGTGCCAATACTCACACGGGTAATATTGTAGGAATCTGTTTTTGCCTGTGTTCCCTTCAAGCTGAGAGTCTTCATATGTGTGCGTGAATCCAGAGATCAGTCTCTACGTGTTGAAAATTACATACAATCAATACATACACACATATGGAAATCTGTGATATAATAGCATCCCAAGATTAGCACACAAACGAATATAAGTAATTGAAGAGACGTAAGTTTGTTTAACCTGGTAGCTAATAAGTGTAATATGGCAGCAAAATATAGTTTAGGAACCAAAACGATTCGACTCACAGACTGCAGTTGGATGTTAGTGGTTACCGGCAAACAATGCATTAGATCTTAATATGAAACTACACAATGTGATACTGTGTACTATTCCCCCAAAGAACCAGCCGCAATCATGTTAGGATGGAACACCTGGTACTCCTTCTCAAATCCCTGTTTTGTTGCCTGCATGTCTCTGATCTTGTCCCCTAGCTTGTCCACCTCGACCTCCGTCACCATGGCTGGTCCAATGTTGTAGTATGTACCAGCTGTGTTCTTCCCAGATCCATCAGCATCACGCACCGCCTCCTCCTCTTCATCATAACCAGCCTTCACGCTAGGTCCTGCTGCTGTGGAAACACATCACGTATGCCGCTGAGCTCAGTGAAAACAGCCGCATGTCACGTGGTCATTGTAAAATTACTTTTAAACAGTTTCACAATAATATTTTATGTATAGTACTGTACGGTGACAGAACTTACAGACATTCTGTTATTTCCAGACTTAAAATAGAATGGCACCCGCTGTGGTGAATCTCCAGCAAATATAATGCATAACATGCGCGAATATGTTGGGTACCATGATCGTTAGATCTTACCTTGCCGCCCTGGTTCATGTGGTTAAAGGCAGACACGTCCTCATACACAGAATTATCACTTCTTTTCTTGCTGGCATTTCTTTTCCTCCTTGAAATGGCATAAATGTCATATTCATACAATGTTTGGTCAATGAACGTGTTAAACGGATATTTCGACTTAAATAGAAAATAAAAAAAAAAAAGTCATTTTAACCATTTGTCCATTTTGATATTGGGTTAGCACTCGCAGGCTAAATGGCATATATTCTACAGCAATCGGGATGTTTTACATCGCATCCAGCAATATTCTAGCAATTCAGACGCAATTATGATACGATGACATGCATCAAGCATGTCAGCAAGCCACACCACCCGATCTCGTTGGTTGTTGGTCGCTTCCCATCCTGTTACGATGCTTTAATTATTCTTGTAATACGTAATTCCTGCGATGAATAGAATTTAAAAGTTTAGTTTCAAATAACAAGAATGGGATGAATGTGCATGATACCTGTACAGGAAAACTGCTAGAACAGTCACAACAACCACAGCTACAGCAACAACTCCACCAACCGCACCACCAACGACGGCACCATTTCCGGGCGATGCAGATTGACTTTGGCTGAAAATATCGGAAAACAATGCACGCTCGTGTCTGAGTAAATGGGTTTGGTGGAACACACTGTGTAGTTCTGATATTCTACAGTGAATCAGCCTCATGTGGGAGAAACGCCCAGAGGGAAGAGAACAATTAATGTGACTTGGTTTCAGGTGAGTACTGGACAGTGATATATCCTGGTTTCATTTTGATCGAATACCGAACTGAATGCTGTGCAAACTTCAAAGTTACTCAGTAAGGGTGCACATAGAGCTATATTGATGGAAGACACTTGCTATCATTTAACATGTTGACAATCTAACCTTGTTGACAGGTGGTGCTGACCCAGCCTGGACTGCAGCCCTTGAGACAGGTTCCAGTGACATGGTGACAAGGTTCATCGTCCACACAATGTCCACACGTGGAGGAACAGTTAACACCAAACGCCCGTGACTGACATTCTACAATCAATTGTTATATATATATTCCCTTTAAACAAAGCGAGAAAATTGATAACTAAATCCACTGCCTGCAGTACAATGTATATATCATTTTTGATAATCATATGCTCTCAGTATCGTATCCTATGCACTGTTAATGTCCATGGAATTTGATGTTTCTCTTTTGGAATCTTCACTCAAACCTTTCTGTGTGTTTACCTCTTGTTATTACTCACCCGGTGAAGATATCACTGTTTAATAATCTACAATGTTATTGCACATTTATTGTTTACACTTATGACGTCACAATGCTAATACATCTGTCACAATGGTATTAGACCTTGCTTGACTCGCAGAAGCTGAGAGTCATAAACCTGTAGGCAGTTTCTATCAGTTTAAGCTGGAGAGTAATAAACAGAATACTAAACTCACTTCAGCGAAATACCATTTATATATTTCGCTCGTTTGATACCGAATCATTAACTCGTTTTATAAACACAATATTACACGGAAGGTCGTTTAGTATCCAGTATTTATTCAACACCACGTAATCTAACCTTGTTGACAGGTGTCGCTGACCCAGCCTGGACTGCAGCCCTTGAGACAGGTTCCAGTGACATGGTGACAAGGTTCATCGTCCACACAATGTCCACACGTGGAGGAACAGTTAACACCAAACGTCCGTGACTGACATTCTGCAATCAATTGTTTAATATATTATCTTTAAAACCTGAATTGAATTAGATATAAAAATCATATAATCGTAGTATAGTATTCCATGCACTGCTGAAACATTTTCAACTTGATTTTTCTTACAAGGAATCTTTCTAGAGCGGTAACATCTAGAGTGTTTACCTCTTTGTTATTGAACACTGTTTAATCTTACCTTGTTGACAGGTGTCGCTGACCCAGCCTGGACTGCAGCCCTTGAGACAGGTTCCAGTGACATGGTGACAAGGTTCATCGTCCACACAATGTCCACATGTGGAGGAACAGTTAACACCAAACGTATGTGATTGACATTCTACAAGAAAATGGTACCATGTAGTTACGACATCCTTCAGAATGGTTTATTGGGTGGAGTCAAATCAGACAACAGTAAACTATACGCATGTTTCTGTATACTGAAACAGTCTTAGCCTATAGTACGAGAACGTCACATACCCAACATACAGTCCACTCCCTCCCATCCTGGCTGACATCCTCCATCACACCGCCCTGTATCCCGGGGACAGGTGCTCGACTCCTCCTTACACTTCCGGACACTGCAGTTACCATGGCAACCGGGTCCATAATTCACGTTTACTGTACACTCTGAAAGATAATCATCAGGACAAACACTGTAATTGCTGTCAGTGCTCACAGCAAGGAAACAACATACCGGCAACACACCAGAGAGAACTGTTAGTTGTCTTGGCTCCTTGTTCTTGACTTCTAGTTCTTTATATATGTCTGTTGTTTGTTTGTTAGCATATTTGACGCCGTACACTTTGATATTCCCGCTATAGATCTGTGTCCGATAATAAATCGAGTCTGAGCCAGACAATCAGCTGATTGATAATTACATGCAAAGGTAGGTACGATGACACCTAGTCCACCCAGTAGCGGAATCTGACCACTAGGTCACTATCCCTTTACCACGAGTAAAGGTTGTTGGGGATGAAGTCTAACACCATCAGCTAGAACAAGTCTGTTGCACGCTCATGGCGTATGATGACGAGAACGATAAAATTGACTCAGTTACAGATAACTGAAATGTCTCCTGTCGTCTACATTACGGAACCTCATGCCAATTTTAACTGCCTTGGGAAACTGAGTTTGTGTCATATAAGTTGCCTAAAAATGGAATAACTTCTTTGAGTGGCATTTTAGAAGCTGGAAATACAAAATGACTGTTTATGGATAGCAACTTGCAAATGTTATTACACATAACATTTGTCATATTGCAAATAAGGAATGTTCTGATATATTATCCCTTGACAGAATTATTTTGCCGTTGTAGACACCTTTTCCTGGTCCCACAAACGTGCGATTTTGATTACTGAACGCCTGGAAGCTAAAATATCGGATGACTACAATGGACACCGCTTCCTTCTTATACGAATCGCACGTTACAGCAAATACACGTATTGCATTGTCATTATCGTAATTTAAAATTCCATAAATCATTTACACATAGGATCTTCAGATATGTTTATGAAGGCACTACACTTACACATATGTGATATTGTGACATACCTGATGTACAGTCCTCTCCCTCCCACCCTGGCTGACATCCTCCATCACATCGGCCTGTATCCTGGGGACAGGTGCTCTCATATCCCTGGCACATCCGGGTACTGCAGTTTTTATCACACCCAACACCATATTCCACACCATCGACACATTCTGGTGGAATATTCAGACAGAAAACATTTGCATAAGAGGTGTTGCATCATTCTGTATTAGCCAATTGTGTCATTAATTTAGCTTTTCAATGTAGCAAGGACTGGACCCACTATCCCTGGAACCTACCAAGTATATGATGGTCGTGATAGCGAGGCACAGACATACGTGCATCTTAGGTCTGTTTGGATGTGTCGGGGAATTGTATGTGTATTTTATTTAGCTATTATTCATCTCTAAATCAATATTATAATAAGAAGGCAACAACAATGATAACATAGTTATGGCCAAGATTTAGGTTGTACATCTTCAAGTTGTATTTATGTATTATGTTGTACATGTAACATCTCGACACAATGACGGTTTGCTGCAGAAGGCTGTCAAACCACTCTTCATTTGTTTGTCTCTGAAAACAACATATATTATAATACTATATACGATAATACTGTACTAAAGAGATAAATAAAACAACATATATTATAATACTATATACGATAATACTGTACTAAAGAGATAAATAAAACAACATATATTATAATACTATATACGATAAAACTGTACTAAAGAGATAAATAGAACAAATAAGAACCCTATCTATGAAATAATAGGATTTCATTTTCTTCTTAAAAATATATAAGTGGGCGCAGTCTGGCGGATCCGTTTTCGCTGGGGCCCCTTTTTCCGTGTCCCACTACGTCCATCTGAGTGAGTGATTTAAGATTTTAAGTCACATCGGCAATATATGATCAGCCATATCGTGACTAAATCAAATTATAGATTTATAATCATTAAAAGTAAATTTTAAACACCTGTCAACGAAGGACAGTAAGCACAGATATGAAACTAGTAGTTAAATCAAAATACTTTAACTATAGAAGACAATACAACATAAAACCGGGCTGTAGATCGCCAACAACTGAAGGTAGATCACCATACTATGGACCATGGGGACTTACAGTACTTTTTGCTACCTGCATGGACCCTACTATCCCCATCCTAACAGAAATTTACATGACCGACCTGGAAGATAAGGCCCTAGAAAGTGCACCCTTCAAACCTTCCTGCTGGTAATCGCAAAGTGGATGACACCTTCGTCATCCTCCAACCTCAGCAAGATCCAAAGCAGCTCCTCGCCCATCTCAACAACCAACATCCCCGCATCAAATTCACCATTAAAACAGAGCAGAACAACCAACTACCTTTCCTTGATGTCCTTATATCCCGCACCTCCTGCAACCAACTCCAGACCTCCGTGTACGGAAAGCCTACCCATACGGATCAATACATCCACTACAACTACAACCACCCCCTAAAGTCAAGACCGGCGTCATCTCTACATTGACCAGAAGAGCCAAAACATCTGCTCAACAAACCTACAAGAAGAAATTGAACACCTAAGGAAAGTCTTTGTAGAACGCAACCACTACCCACCTGAAATAGTCAACAGAACCATCGAAGCAACGCTTTCACCTCCTGCCAAAAGATCTAAACCAGAATCAGCCCCCATCAAGATATCCAATCCCTACATAGGTAAACCATCACATCCAATCAGCCGACTCCTGAAACAACAGGCAGGCATAGACACAACCTTCTCGGCGTCCTCCACCCTCAACAACCTCCTCCCTCCATGCCAACGGAAGAAAACAACCCACCGTCAACAACAACAACCCGAAATGTGTTATTTATAAAATAAGCTGTGATTGTGGACAAAGCTACATAGGTGAAACATCCTGACCCATCAACACCCGAGTCAAAGAACATCGCACCTCTGTTGCTAACTCCGACACCAAATCAGCTATCTCTGACCACATCAAAGCAAACCCCAATCACCAAATAGAGTGGTCCGACTTCACCATTCTCGCCAACAACCAAACGGACTTCACTAAACGCAAGCTCACCGAAGCCATTCACATCAAACGCCATAAGTCCACCATCAACCGTGACCAAGGATACTTCATTCCATCAGCTTATGATCCACTCCTCCACAAAGCCCAATCTATTGTATAAACATCGCACCTATTGTATAAACATCCTCTTCATTGTACCACTCCTGTATTTATACATCTCTGGCTTCCATTCACTATCCTTTGTGTACTCACTGGCTTCATCAGCTAACTGCTTAACCAATTATGGCAATTATGTTGTTTCCTTTGTCAATTACAATGTATGTAGTTTCATTGTTATACACAGTATAAATATGCAGCTCCTCCACTTCATGTATCACTCTTGCTTGACAACGGCACAAGAATCTGTATTGAAACGTCGCACTCACGAAATAAAGAAGTTGTTATCCATAAAAACTTGTTCCATATCATAAATTTATCAATCAACCTTCAGTTCTTTTAAACACTCAATGATAATATGAACGATATAATGACAATTATCTATATTAAAAAGATCCTTCAGAGTTTTAACATTGAAAAATTTAACTCAGGTGATGGAAAAATGAATACAGTCAAGCAGGACATGCTTCAGGACATCACTTCACCGTGATTCCCTGCAGTTGATATCACAAAGGATACAAAACCCTGAGACATTTTTGTAACACAGTCTACATCCCCCAGCCGGCACTACAGCCCATGGTTCCTACCTGTAATACAGCCTACATCAATCCAGCCGGCACTACAAACCCATGGTTCCTACCTGTAACACAGTCTACATCCTTCCAGCCGGCACTACAGCCCATGGTTCCTACCTGTAACACAGTCTACATCCTTCCAGCCGGCACTACAGCCCATGGTTCCTACCTGTAACACAGTCTACATCCTTCCAGCCGGCACTACAGCCCATGGTTCCTACCTGTAACACAGTCTACATCCTTCCAGCCGGCACTACAGCCCATGGTTCCTACCTGTAACACAGTCTACATCCTTCCAGCCGGCACTACAGCCCATGGTTCCTACCTGTAACACAGTCTACATCCTTCCAGCCGGCACTACAGCCCATGGTTCCTACCTGTAACATACAGTCTACATCCTTCCAGCCGGCACTACAGCCCATGGTTCCTACCTGTAACACAGTCTACATCCTTCCAGCCGGCACTACAGCAGCCCATGGTTCCTACCTGTAACACAGTCTACATCCTTCCAGCCGGCACTACAGCCCATGGTTCCTACCTGTAACACACAGTCTACATCCTTCCAGCCGTTACAACAGCCCATGGTTCCTACCTGTAATACAGTCTACATCCTTCCAGCCGGCACTACAGCCCATGGTTCCTACCTGTAATACAGTCTACATCCTTCCAGCCGGCACTACAGCCCATGGTTCCTACCTGTAACACAGTCTACATCCTTCCAGCCGGCACTACAGCCCATGGTTCCTACCTGTAATACAGTCTACATCCTTCCAGCCGGGCACTACAGCCCATGGTTCCTACCTGTAATACAGTCTACATCCTTCCAGCCGGCACTACAGCCCATGGTTCCTACCTGTAATACAGTCTACATCCTTCCAGCCGGCACTACAGCCCATGGTTCCTACCTGTAATACAGTCTACATCCTTCCAGCCGGCACTACAGCCCATGGTTCCTACCTGTAATACAGTCTACATCCTTCCAGCCGGCACTACAGCCCATGGTTCCTACCTGTAATACAGTCTACATCCTTCCAGCCGGCACTACAGCCCATGGTTCCTACCTGTAACACAGTCTACATCCTTCCAGCCGGCACTACAGCCCATGGTTCCTACCTGTAATACAGTCTACATCCTTCCAGCCGGCACTACAGCCCATGGTTCCTACCTGTAACACAGTCTACATCCTTCCAGCCGGCACTACAGCCCATGGTTCCTACCTGTAACACAGTCTACATCCTTCCAGCCGGCACTACAGCCCATGGTTCCTACCTGTAACACAGTCTACATCCTTCCAGCCGGCACTACAGCCCATGGTTCCTACCTGTAATACAGTCTACATCCTTCCAGCCGGCACTACAGCCCATGGTTCCTACCTGTAACACAGTCTACATCCTTCCAGCCGGCACTACAGCCCATGGTTCCTACCTGTAATACAGTCTACATCCTTCCAGCCGGCACTACAGCCCATGGTTCCTACCTGTAACACAGTCTACATCCTTCCAGCTGGCACTACAGCCCATGGTTCCTACCTGTAATACAGTCTACATCCTTCCAGCTGGCACTACAGCCCATGGTTCCTACCTGTAACACAGTCTACATCCTTCCAGCCGGCACTACAGCCCATGGTTCCTACCTGTAATACAGTCTACATCCTTCCAGCCGGCACTACAGCCCATGGTTCCTACCTGTAACACAGTCTACATCCTTCCAGCCGGCACTACAGCCCATGGTTCCTACCTGTAATACAGTCTACATCCTTCCAGCCGGCACTACAACCCATGGTTCCTACCTGTAATACAGTCTACATCCTTCCAGCTGGCACTACAGCCCATGGTTCCTACCTGTAATACAGTCTACATCCTTCCAGCCGGCACTACAGCCCATGGTTCCTACCTGTAATACAGTCTACATCCTTCCAGCCGGCACTACAGCCCATGGTTCCTACCTGTAATACAGTCTACATCCTTCCAGCCGGCACTACAGCCCATACCTACCTGTAATATAGTCTACATCCTTCCAGCCTGCACTACATATGGTTCCTACCTGTAACACAGTCTACATCCTTCCAGCCGGCACTACAGCCCATGGTTCCTACCTGTAATACAGTCTACATCCTTCCAGCCGGCACTACAACCCATGGTTCCTACCTGTAATACAGTCTACATCCTTCCAGCTGGCACTACAGCCCATGGTTCCTACCTGTAACACAGTCTACATCCTTCCAGCCGGCACTACAGCCCATGGTTCCTACCTGTAACACAGTCTACATCCTTCCAGCCGGCACTACAGCCCATGGTTCCTACCTGTAATACAGTCTACATCCTTCCAGCCGGCACTACAGCCCATGGTTCCTACCTGTAACACAGTCTACATCCTTCCAGCCGGCACTACAGCCCATGGTTCCTACCTGTAATACAGTCTACATCCTTCCAGCCTACCTGTAACACAGCACATCCTTCCAGCCCATGGTTCCTACCTGTAACACAGTCTACATCCTTCCAGCCGGCACTACAGCCCATGGTTCCTACCTGTAATACAGTCTACATCCTTCCAGCCGGCACTACAGCCCATGGTTCCTACCTGTAATACAGTCTACATCCTTCCAGCCGGCACTACAGTCCATGGTTCCTACCTGTAACACAGTCTACATCCTTCCAGCCGGCACTACAGCCCATGGTTCCTACCTGTAACACAGTCTACATCCTTCCAGCCGGCACTACAGCCCATGGTTCCTACCTGTAACACAGTCTACATCCTTCCAGCCGGCACTACAGCCCATGGTTCCTACCTGTAATACAGTCTACATCCTTCCAGCCGGCACTACAGCCCATGGTTCCTACCTGTAATACAGTCTACATCCTTCCAGCCGGCACTACAGCCCATGGTTCCTACCTGTAATACAGTCTACATCCTTCCAGCCGGCACTACAGCCCATGGTTCCTACCTGTAATACAGTCTACATCCTTCCAGCCGGCACTACAGCCCATGGTTCCTACCTGTAATACAGTCTACATCCTTCCAGCCGGCACTACAGCCCATGGTTCCTACCTGTAATACAGTCTACATCCTTCCAGCCGGCACTACAACCCATGGTTCCTACCTGTAATACAGTCTACATCCTTCCAGCCGGCACTACAGCCTATGGTTCCTACCTGTAATACAGTCTACATCCTTCCAGCCGGCACTACAGCCCATGGTTCCTACCTGTAACACAGTCTACATCCTTCCAGCCGGCACTACAGCCCATGGTTCCTACCTGTAATACAGTCTACATCCTTCCAGCCGGCACTACAGCCCATGGTTCCTACCTGTAACACAGTCTACATCCTTCCAGCCGGCACTACAGCCCATGGTTCCTACCTGTAATACAGTCTACATCCTTCCAGCCGGCACTACAACCCATGGTTCCTACCTGTAATACAGTCTACATCCTTCCAGCCGGCACTACAGCCCATGGTTCCTACCTGTAACACAGTCTACATCCTTCCAGCCGGCACTACAACCCATGGTTCCTACCTGTAATACAGTCTACATCCTTCCAGCCGGCACTACAGCCTATGGTTCCTACCTGTAATACAGTCTACATCCTTCCAGCCGGCACTACAACCCATGGTTCCTACCTGTAACACAGTCTACATTCTTCCAGCCGGCACTACAGCCCATGGTTTCTACCTGTAACACAGTCTACATCCTTCCAGCTGGCACTACAACCCGTGGTTCCTACCTGTAATACAGTCTACATCCTTCCAGCCGGCACTACAGCCCATGGTTCCTACCTGTAATACAGTCTACATCCTTCCAGCCGGCACTACAACCCATGGTTCCTACCTGTAACACAGTCTACATCCTTCCAGCCGGCACTACAGCCCATGGTTCCTACCTGTAACACAGTCTACATCCTTCCAGCCGGCACTACAGCCTATGGTTCCTACCTGTAATACAGTCTACATCCTTCCAGTCGGCACTACAACCCATGGTTCCTACCTGTAACACAGTGTACATCCTTCCAGCCGGCACTACAGCCCATGGTTCCTACCTGTAACACAGTCTACATCCTTCCAGCCGGCACTACAACCCATGGTTCCTACCTGTAACACAGTCTACATCCTTCCAGCCGGCACTACAACCCATGGTTCCTACCTGTAACACAGTCTACATTCTTCCAGCCGGCACTACAACCCATGGTTCCTACCTGTAACACAGTCTACATCCTTCCAGCCGGCACTACAACCCATGGTTCCTACCTGTAATACAGTCTACATCCTTCCAGCTGGCACTACAGCCCATGGTTCCTACCAGTAATACAGTCTACATCCTTCCAGCCGGCACTACAACCCATGGTTCCTACCAGTAATACAGTCTACATCCTTCCAGCCGGCACTACAACCCATGGTTCCTACCTGTAACACAGTCTACATCCTTCCAGCCGGCACTACAACCCATGGTTCCTACCTGTAACACAGTCTACATCCTTCCAGCCGGCACTACAGCCCATGGTTCCTACCTGTAACACAGTCTACATCCTTCCAGCCTGCACTACTGGCCATGGTTCCTACCTGTAACACAGTCTACATCCTTCCAGCCGGCACTACAGCCCATGGTTCCTACCTGTAATACAGTCTACATCCTTCCAGCCGGCACTACAGCCCATGGTTCCTACCTGTAACACAGTCTACATCCTTCCAGCCGAAACTACAGCCCATGGTTCCTACCTGTAACACAGTTTACATCCTTCCAGCCGGCACGACAGCCCATGGTTCCTACCTGTAACACAGTCTACATCCTTCCAGCCGGCACTACAGCCCATGGTTCCTACCTGTAATACAGTCTACATCCTTCCAGCCGGCACTACAACCCATGGTTCCTACCTGTAACACAGTCTACATCCTTCCAGCCGGCACTACAGTCCATGGTTCCTACCTGTAATACAGTTCCTACATCCTTCCAGCCGGCACTACAGCCCATGGTTCCTACCTGTAACACAGTCTACATCCTTCCAGCCGGCACTACAACCCATGGTTCCTACCTGTAATACAGTCTACATCCTTCCAGCCGGCACTACAACCCATGGTTCCTACCTGTAATACAGTCTACATCCTTCCAGCCGGCACTACAACCCATGGTTCCTACCTGTAATACAGTCTACATCCTTCCAGCCGGCACTACAGCCCATGGTTCCTACCTGTAACACAGTCTACATCCTTCCAGCCGGCACTACAACCCATGGTTCCTACCTGTAATACAGTCTACATCCTTCCAGCCGGCACTACAACCCATGGTTCCTACCTGTAATACAGTCTACATCCTTCCAGCCGGCACTACAGCCCATGGTTCCTACCTGTAACACAGTCTACATCCTTCCAGCCGGCACTACAACCCATGGTTCCTACCTGTAATACAGTCTACATCCTTCCAGCCGGCACTACAACCCATGGTTCCTACCTGTAATACAGTCTACATCCTTCCAGCCGGCACTACAGTCCATGGTTCCTACCTGTAACACAGTCTACATCCTTCCAGCCGGCACTACAACCCATGGTTCCTACCTGTAATACAGTCTACATCCTTCCAGCCGGCACTACAACCCATGGTTCCTACCTGTAATACAGTCTACATCCTTCCAGCCGGCACTACAACCCATGGTTCCTACCTGTAATACAGTCTACATCCTTCCAGCCGGCACTACAACCCATGGTTCCTACCTGTAACACAGTCTCTACATCCTTCCAGCCGGCACTACAACCCATGAGTTCCTACCTGTAATACAGTCTACATCCTTCCAGCTGGCACTTCAACCCATGGTTCCTACCTGTAACATACAGTCTACACCCTTCCAGCCGGCACTACAACTCATGTTTCCTACATGTAACACATTCTACATCCTTCCAGCCGGCACTACAGCCTATGGCTCCTACCTGTAATACAGTCTACATCCTTCCAGCCGGCACTACAACTCATGTTTCCTACCTGTAACACAGTCTACACCCTTCCAGTCGGCACTACAGCCCATGGCTCCTACCTGTAATACAGTCTACATCCTTCCAGCCGGCACTACAACCCATGGCCCTACCTGTAATCAGTCTACATCCTTCCAGCCCGGCACTACAGCCCATGGCTGCTGCTACCTGTAATACAGTCTACATCCTTCCAGCCGGCACTACAGCCGTTGTCATCCAGTCACGTGATCACACGATGAGGCTGTCCCACAATGTCTACTTGAGCAGTTCTTGCTGCAACCGTTCCAGTGGCGGAACATTCTACAGGGAAGCATTATTAGAAAGTAGAATGTGACACTGATTATGACAGTAAATAACTTGAAAATGGCAAAGACATGCGAGTAGTTACACAGTTCTTGTTATTGCACATCACACCCTGTTAGCTACAGCTGTCATTATGTTAACAGA